AGAAGGTGCTGCACCACATGCGCAACGTACAGTCTGTCGTGTCCGACTTGGTGACGCGAGAAGAGGACCTGCTAGGGATCCAAGTCCTCGTGGGCATGGTCGTTCTCTTCCAGGGCACGAAAGATCCCAAGCCGGCCTCGGTCCTCATCGGCACGGCTATCCGGCTGGCGCACCGGCTGCACCTCCACGACAAGGAGTCCCTCCAGTACTTTTCGCCCGCGGTCGCCCGGCAGAGGTCGCGGGTCTTTTGGCTCGCCTACTGCATGGACAAGGACATCAGCCTGCGGTCAAAGACGCCTTCGTTCCAGCTGGACGCGGATATCGACCTGCCCCTGCCGGAGCTGGACCCGGACGACGGGGCGGGCGTCGTGGCTGCGTCTAACGGCAGCAAGTTCAACTTCTTCCGGGCGAGGGTCGAGCTCAGCCACATCGCGGGGAAGGTATACGATCTGCTCTACAGCACGAGGTCGCGCAAGGTGGCAAAGTCGGAAGCGCAGCTGCGGGTGACGCGTCTGGAGGAGATGCTCGAGACGTGGCGCCGCAACGTGCCGGCCGAGTTCCAGCTCACGTCGCTGCTGGAGTACGCCGAGCCGCTTCCCACGGTGCACCTTTCGCTTCTCTACCACAACTATTTTGTCATCACCGTCATGGTCCACGGCATCTACTCGCACGACGCGGATTGGGTGCAGAGAATTAGCTCGTACGGCCGTGCGACGATACAAGACCTGGATGGTATAGGACAAGGAAACAGCAGGCAGAACTCGCCGTTGCCGACGGGGTGGGCAAAGTGCGTGGAACTCAGCCGGGACTGCATGAATCTGTTTGTGGAATCGCCAAAGACGGACTGCAGCATCTGGTCCAATGCGTGCGCGCACTTTTCGGGGCTCATCATTATCCTATCCAACATGTTTGTTTTCCCAGAAAACCCCAACGTATCGGCGGACAAGGAGCTCGCGCAACACGCGATGCAGCTTTTTGATATGATGCTGCGTCTCTCTGCAAACGAAGACTTCCGCAGGCTGTACGAGGTAGTCAAGGAGCTGCACCGGCGGGCGATGGCAACTGTGGATAAGGTTTCACGGAAGAGAGAAGAGCAAGCGGCTGCGGCTGCGGTGGTGGAGGCAATGGACAATACGCTGCCGTTTGGAATGCAATTTGAGGAGGATGTGAGTTTCTTTGAGGGCGCAGGCATGATGGACTTTACAGGGGCTTTTGCTGGGGGTATCATGGAGGAGTCACCGGTGACTGCGGATTCCGAGGCAGGAGACACGTTAGAGGCCGGGGGTTTCCAAGGAGACTTGGGTCGTGCTGCCGCGACGGTTGGGCATAGTCATTACTAAGCTGTGATGATACTATATTGGCGTTTGGGAGTCTACCACATCTAGACTATATCTAGTGGGTTGATTTTGTTATAGTTGTCTTATGACTACTGGATGAAGGGAACTTGAATATCAGTAGAGAAACTGAGAAGTCATGTTCACGATGATCTGCTTTCTTGACTTGGTGACGATCAACCCGGTTGGAGTCGTTGGTGTTGAGCTCCCTTACTACGCAAGGACAAGAGCTTGGGCAATCGGTGTCTTCGGACGGTGGACCGAGTGGTGGGGTGTTTTGGTGGGATAATTATGGGACCCGTGTGTTAGGTTTGATGCTAACCCTGATCAAGACAGGTGTGATCCAAGCTCTGGCATTTTGTCCAGTGAGATGGGAGGAATTTGCAAGCTGGCAGGGATGACGGGATGAGGTGGGGCCGCAGTGGACAATGACGACCAGAGTGAGCTCAAGCACCTGCCACAGCAGATGAATTGCACTGGGAGGAAGCATACTGCGTACGCAGTAGAAGGAAGGAATGGCACAAGCAACAGCATCGTCTTGGGGAAGGTGGTTGCCGCCGCTAATCCCGGGAGATCCTTCCCTGTGGAGGAACGAGCTCACTGTCATGGCGTCATCATTGAATCGTCCAATTTTGGGGAGGAAGTTGCGTCCATCTCTGCCTCGTACTTGCACTTGCACGCCTACCTAAGGTACAGCGTAAGGTACCTCACATTCTCGCGTCTTTCTGGCCATCCCGTGTTTATCTGCAGCCATTGAGAGCTTCCCTCAAAGCACAGCGCATGAATGATGATGATGCTCTGAATCCTCACCACTCTCCATCGCCCGACGTTACAAACGCAAAAACACTGCCCGCCTTCTTGAACCCCTCCATAAACACAACCCCGGTCAAAGACGAGTCAACCTTGACCTGACGGAGTATTGTCGCCAATCTGAAGACGCGAATCCATCGACTTTCCCCATCTCTCAGCAGACCGCCTACCATCACGTCTTGCCTCATCCCACCTTAGCCCAGTTACAGCATACTTACCGCAACATCTCTGTCTAGGTACTTGTCACCCCCGGAATCATTTACCTTCCAGTCACCATCTGCCTAGCATTTCACTATTAGGATACTTAGCTCCCACACTACATCTGGGAATACCTAAGCAGTCTTGGCCCCGTGTGCTTTGTTATCTGACCCCCTCCCTGCGCCCCGGTGCTTTACATCAGCAGCTGTCAGTCCGAGTCGGAGTACCCCTCGACGGTAGCCGTACCATCTTCCCCTCTCTTTCGCCTACCCATCTACTCCTTGGCCCCCTTCCCCTCCATCCTTCATGCAAGCCAACAGATTCCTCCTCCCTCTCCGCCAACACGTAAGAGTCTCTTCTCTACTCCGACAAACGACACAAAAGAACCCATTTTCGTACAGCGCACGAGCCATGGCCGACTACAAGCTCAAGTCCGTCTCCTCGCTGTCGCTCAAGCCGGGAGACAAGCAAGAGGTTGAAGTCGAGGGAATCGAGGGCGCAAAGGTCCTCCTCCTCAACGCCGGCGGCAGTATACAGGCTGTTGGCCCCAAATGCACCCACTTTGGCGCACCACTCGTAAAGGGAGTCTTGACAACCTCTGGTCGCTTGACATGTCCCTGGCACGGAGGTATCTATCCTCTCCCACGTTAGCTCCATTGCACTTCACTGACCCGCATGCAGCTTGCTTCAATGCCAAAACTGGTGATGTCGAAGACGCACCTGCTCTCGACGCCCTTCCCGTCTTCAAGGTCACCGAGCGCGACGGCGCAGTCTACATTTCTGGCGAAGAGGCCGCTATCAAGGGCGGTCGCCGCAAGCCCAACTTCAAGTGCAATGCCGCTGGTGGTGCCGACCAAGAAAAGGTGGTCATTGTTGGTGGAGGTTCTGGTGCTCTCGGAGCTGTTGAGGGTCTGCGCAACGGTGGCTACGACGGTCCCTTGACCATCATCTCCTCTGAAGGCTACTTCCCCATTGATCGCACAAAGCTGTCCAAGGCTCTCCTGACCGACGTCAACGCCCTGCAATGGCGCGACGAGGCCTGGTATAAGAGTGGCTCCGTCGACTGGGTCGCCGACGAGGTAACCGACGTTGACTTCTCTGACCGCAAGGTCACCACCAAGAAGGGCGACAGCGTCCCCTACACCAAGCTCATCTTGGCCACCGGCGGTACGCCCAGAAACCTGCCCCTCCAAGGGTTCAAGGTGTTGGGCAACATCTTCACCCTCAGAACTGCCCACGACACGCAAAAGATTGTCAAGGCCATCGGCGACAAGGGCAAGAAAATCGTCATTGTCGGATCCTCCTTCATCGGCATGGAGGTTGCCAACGCCACCGCCAAGGAGAACACAGTCACCGTCATCGGTATGGAAAAGGTTCCTCTGGAGAGGGTTCTTGGCGAGAAGATTGGCGCTGGCATCCAGAAGAGCCTGGAAAAGAATGGCGTCAAGTTCCACATGAATGCTGGCGTTGACAAGGCAGAGCCATCAGCCACGGACGCTGCCAATGTTGGCGCGGTATACCTCAAGGATGGCACCAAACTCGAGGCTGATCTAGTCATTCTCGGTGTTGGTGTCGCCCCCGCTACTGAATTCCTGAGGGAGAACAAGGTCATCAGATTGGAGGACGATGGCTCGATCAAGACCAACGAGAACTTTGAGATCGTTGGCCTCAAGGACGTGTACGCCATTGGTGACATCGCAACATACCCCTACCACGGTCCTGGAGGCGACGGCCGGTACACTCGCATTGAGCACTGGAATGTCGCCCAGAACGCTGGTCGCTCCGTTGCAAACAACATCATCAACTCAGCCGTCAAGACGCCGCACTTCATCCCCGTCTTTTGGTCCGCACTGGGCTCACAGCTGAGATACTGCGGTAACACCGTCGGCGGATGGGACGATGTCGTGATTCAAGGCAATGTGGAAGAGTCGGCTTTTGTTGCGTACTACACAAACGGCGAGACGGTTGTCGCCATGGCCTCCATGGGTAAGGACCCTGCCATGGTTCAGTCAGCCGAGTTGATGTCGCTCGGAAAGATGCCTTCGAAATCGGAGCTGGCCAAGGGCCTCGACATTACCACTATCGGTCCGTTGGAGGCATGATTTGGTAAACAAGACTTTTATGCTTGTTCGGGAGGGATGTAGGACGTAATCTATGGCGTAATTAGGTAGGCTTCAAGGCATGCAATGAGCACACAATTCAATGAATTCAATTAACAAGGGGTGTTTGTGATATTTCCACAGCAAAGATGGATGCCGTGCCCGCGAAGTATGAAAACCCGTTGAGTAAGCCGGTGGGACAATTGCTAGTGGATCTGTGTGGACGGTGAGAACTAGTGAGGGACACTCGGGACCGAGCGCTGTGTTTGTACCCGAGATGACCGGTGTGGGGCGGTGGCTGCGTTTCCGGCCACGCCAGGACCAGCGGAGCCGGGCAAGTGCGGAGCTTGCAAACCACCGCCGTCGACGCCGTCACAATGGCGCGGGATTGAAATGCCAAATGTATAAAGACCTCATCGTGCATCTCGTACACAAGTTTGGATGGACGGTCGAACCACACTACGCTTTTCATCCAATCTTACCTTGAGCCTCGAGACTTTACTTTTTGTTATTGACTTACACCGGTCGGCACATCAACCAACACCAAAATCAACACACAATGACGACGCAAACTCAAGCACCCGTGATAATCATAGGCGGCAGCCTAGTAGGCCTCGCCAGCGCCCTCTTCCTCTCCGCCCGCGACGTCCCGGTCATGCTATTCGAGCGCCACACCTCGAGCTCCCCGCACCCGCGCGCCATCGGGTACACCTCGCGCACGCTGGAACTCTTGCAGACTGTCGGCATCTCCCCTGATCAGCTGAAAGTCGGATCCGGTCCGCCGGGCGGGAAACCTCGTCGGGTGAAGGTCAAGAGTCTGGCGGGGGAGTGGGCTGATGAGCAGCTCTGGAATAACAACGCCAACAAGGAGAACGGTGCCGGCCCGAAGCACGAGACCAAAAAACCTGGATCTGGTTCCGGTGGACCCCCACCGCAGCAGAAAGGAGGCAAAGTCTATGCTCCCATCATGGGCACGGCGATCGCCCAAGACAGACTTGAACCCATCCTCCGCAAACGCGCCGTCGAGCTAGGCGCGGATCTCAGGCTCGGGTGGAAGATGACGTCCTGGAGCCAGTCAACGGACGGCGTACGCGTCACGGCCGTCAATAGAGAATCAGGGGAGGAAGTGACCGTCGGAGGATCGTACATTGTCGCCTGCGACGGCGCGCGGAGCATCTTCCGCGAGGGCCTGAGGATCGGGACGACGGGCGTGGGACACTTGCGGAGTCTGTGCAGCGTCATGTTCCGGTGCGCGCCGATTGAGAAGTTTCTGGAGCGTGGATTCGTGCAGTTCTCGATCGAGGGGCGCGAGGACGGGTTTGAGGCGTTTCTGGTGAGTTATCACGATGGGAGGTGGGCGTTGATGTGGAACGCCGCCGAGGAGACCATCACCGACAAGGAGGCCGACGGCAAGGACACGATCAACGTCGGGCACAGCAACAAGATGGACGCCCGCGCGCAAAAGGACCTCATCCGCAAAGCCCTCGGTCTCGGCGAGGACGAGATCCAGGACGGGGATATCGAGCTGGTGACGATTGGGTTCTGGGAGATGAGCGCGCGGATCGCGGAGAAGTTTGCCGAGGGGCGGGTGTTTCTCGCGGGCGACGCGGCGCATACGTTGCCGCCTAACCGGGGCGGGTACGGCGCCAACACGGGGTTCGCGGACGCGCATAACTTGGCGTGGAAGATTGCTGCTGTTAGGAGCGGGGTGGCGGACGAGGGGATTCTGGGGACGTATGATGAGGAGAGGAGGCCTGTTGCGCTTGTGAGGCATGATCAGCTCTTTGCGAGGGATGATTACAAGGCGTATATCCGGGGTGATGGGGGGAAGGGGAAGAAGGTCGAGGTGATTGACGATATTGCCATGGAGTTGGGGCAGATTTATCGGTCTAGGGGGGTGGATTTGGGGACAGAAGAGGTTTTGCCTGATGCGATGAGGCCTGATGAGTGGAAGGGTCAGCCCGGGACGAGGGCGCCTCATTTGGTGGTTAGGAAGAGGGATGGGAAAGAGATTTCGAGTTTGGAGTTGTTTGGGCGTGGGTGGATTGTGCTCTCGAGGGACGGGGATTGGAAGACTGCTGCTGTTGGTGCTGGGTGTGAGTTTGTTCATGTTGGAGAGGATGTCGTCGAGGTTGACGAGAGGGAGGGCGAGAGCTTTGAGGAAACGTTTGGGGTTGGGAGGGAGGGCGCTGTGTTGGTGAGGCCTGATGGGTTTGTTGCCTGGAGGGTTAGCGGAAGGGAGGATGGTGATGATGAGGTATTTTCTGAGGCTTTCAAGCGGATTTCTTTTGCGTTATAGTCAAGTTTGGTGACTTTGACTGCGTTTTTGGAAGGGAATTATTGACGGTTGTATTATTACTATGTTTTTGTATGAAAGAAACCTGATAAACTCCTCTTGAAGAAACATTTGGCACTAGCCTCTATGCTTACAACTTCTTGAGTATCGCGACAATGATACCAGTGCAGACGCCTCGCCTTGAAGAGGCTGAATGGGTATGATGGCATGCCCCCAGCCTATCACGTCTATTAAAAGAAGCTTGATACGGCGTAGAGGGGGAATAGATGAATGATGACCACTTTGAAGTCCAGCCTGAAGTTCAAGCCGGTCATCACATTAGAAACATGTCCCTCCAACTTCACTTCTTCAGACGGATGACAGTTATCGATACTGCGCGATACGCGAGAGACAGACAAGGCGCGCTGAGTAAATGAGCAAATCTCTTCCCGGAGATGATCAGAATCATCAGAGGAGTCCATAACTTGAAATGTGAGAAGTAACCAGTAATAAGACATGGTTGTTGACATTGAGTTTCAACTTCTGCTAAAGTCTGACCGTGAAAACGCAGTTCGAAATGTCGTCTGAGACGAGGTCGGTGAGTGAGACATGGCAGCATGCTCCTTTGAGTGACCACAGCAAGCAGCAAGCAGGGGCTCAAGAGCTGAGAGGTTTGAGGGCAGAATCTCCGTATCGTGTCATAGTTTCCGTAATGCACTTGATGAGCAGAAACATCTGATGGTTCTTTGCCAAAAAGAGCAGTCCGCCTAGACAAAAGCAAGACTGGTCGGAAAACCAAATACAGCTAGCACGGTGCGGGGAGACTAAATGAGGGGATGCGGAGAGGATGCATGTTGCTCGGGTGCATCACGGGCAACGCCATGCCTCACCGGTTCGGCGGTTTTGGGTTAGCGAAGAATGCGTGTCCGGGGCTTACACACAGCCATATGAAAAGGCCGACTTGCGGCTTGATGTGCCATGTTGTACTCAAACTACCTTGCCTGTATCCTCCAGCTTCACGCATGAAATCTCTCACTCACTGCACCACTGTCTATCGCTGCATTAACTGAAACTTCTCTCACCATGTCTCCCAAGATCCTGAAAGTTGGCGTAGTTGGCGGTGGTGACGTTGCACAAATCGTTCACCTTCCAACCTTTATGTTTCTGTCTGATCTCTTCAAGGTCGTCACCATTTGCGACATTTCACGCAAGACGGCCGATCATTGTCGTGCCAAATTCAACATCCCCCACGCAACCACAAACCCAGACGACATCTTCAATGACCCGGCCATTGATGTCGTCGTCATCCTAACATCTGACGAGTACCACGCCCCGTATACCATTGCTGCACTGGAGGCCGGGAAAAACGTCTTGCTCGAGAAACCCATGACGCTCAGTCTGCAAGCCGCCGACGAGATTATCGACGCCGAGACCAAGGCCCCCAATAATGCCCGCGTCTTTTTGGGCTACATGCGACGTTACGCTCCAAGCCTCCAAGCCTTCAAACGTGAGATCGCCTCCATTGAAAAGATCAAGTACGCTCGCGTTCGCGACATCATCGGCCCCAATGCCTATTTCATCGGGCAATCGGGAGCATACTCTCAAAAGTACCATGATGACATACCAACCGAGGTGTCGGAGGACAGAAAGGCGCGACTGGCCGTCTTACTAGGCCAAGCCTGGGGACAAGAGCCGGAATCGCTCACAGCCGCGCAGATGGACTACTGCTGCCTCCTCGGCAGTCTCGGGAGTCACGGTCTCAGCCTCATGAGGAACGTGCTAGGTGGCCTCCCGGAATCGGTTCTCGCTTCGACGGACAACGCGCGCTGGTACACGGCCATGTTCGAGTACCGAAACGGCACCGCCCTCGACGACAGGTTCACGTGCGTCTACGAGATGGGCATTGACTCGGTGCCGAGATTCGACTCTCATGTTGCCGTCTACGGGGAGAACAAGACTGTCACGATTTGCTATGATACGCCGTTCGTCAAGGGCCTCGGCATCACGGTGGAGATTGACGAGCTGAACGAGCACGGGGAAAAGTCCCACAGGTCTCTCCAAACCTCGTACGAGGATGCCTACACTGCAGAGTTGAAAGAGTGGTATGAGACTGTGGTTCACGGCAAAGAAGTCAAGACGTCTGCCAAGGACGCTCGAGATGATTTGATACTGTTCAAGATGATGATGGATAAGTTCCCCGAGCACAAGAAGATCAAGAACTTGTCCGATAGCACGCCTTTCGTACCGAGCGGCCCTTGAATGCCACGCACACCAAATATCACTGCATTGCTATTCAGTACAGTATTGAACAAAATTTCGCCTGTTTGCCATCTCCGAACCCGTGAATGACGTTGTCTCTTCCGCCTGTTGGGGAAACCCAGATGCGCTTATCACTTACACCGACTCGGGTGCATGACTGCCTTGATGTGACCGTATCTGAATCAGAGAAAAACTCTCTGTTTCGATGCGTACTTGCTTCGGTACTTAGATGAGGTGCTTCAAATTACTCATGTGCTGGGGTGGGTGTAGAAACTGTTGATATAATAATCACGAAGGCTTAGTTGATTTTGAATCTTGGGTGGAGAAATGGGGGATGAGTGAAGAGTCGGCTTGAGGCTAGCTCAAGATGCCGAGCTTTTCTCATTCAAAAGGAATTCATCCCGAACCGACTATACTCTTTCTACTTTGTTTCGATTAATTATGGCCTCCATGTACAGGATGTAGCAAACGTACTCTGTATTAGGGTCGACTCCAAAGAAGGGTGACACTGATTTTTGGGGACCTGCCGTGTAAGTCTTGAGGAGGTATCCGTTCATCGGACGACGCAGCGGCCTGGCAATCCCCAACATTGCGACGCCATGACAAATGCGAAGACGACATTGTCTTCCACGAGACGAGGCTGATGTGCGAGGCTGCAGCAAGCCTGCTCGCCCCAAGCTTCACTAGGTATGTTCACGGACATTGCGTCCTGTCAGTGCCAAGGCCTATCGTTGACTCTCGGACCTATGTGTCCGTTCGACCTGTCAAGTCATCCTAGTCTGCTTTTTGATCTGTTGATAAGGTATTGATTGCGCTCGTTATCTTAGTGGTAGCAAATTCGTACATGCGAGAAGAGGGAAGTGCCCAAACGTTGTGAACAGTCAAACTCAATTATTGCCACCATATGTTGCCAGTCACTCACAGCCCGAAACCACAGGAACGAAAACACCAAATTTTGTTGGAGCTCATGAACTCATTGAACGACTATGGCTAACGTTAAAGGAAACAGGAGGTAATATCCGTTGTCTAAGATCGTACAGTCTACAGGGGTAGTAGGTATCTACAACTTGGAAATGATGGCGCCGGCAAACTCGTTAGTCTTGGCCTTGCCGCCCAAGTCGCCGGTGAGGGCCTTTCCTTCCGCGAGGGTATCAAAAGCGGCCTTCTCGATTCTGTCGGCGTACTCGCCGAGGCTCATGTGTCTCAGCATCATCATGGAGCTGAGGAGCAGAGCGGTGGGGTTGGCCAGGCCCTTGCCGGCAATGTCGGGGGCGGAGCCGTGGACGGCCTCGAAGATGGAGCACTCGTCACCGATGTTGCCGGAGGGGGTGAGACCGAGACCACCAATGAGACCGGCGCACATGTCGGAGAGAATGTCACCGTACAGGTTGGGCATGACGAGGACCTTGTCGTTGTAGGGGAGGGGGTCGGTGACCATCTTCAGGCAGGTGTTGTCGAGGAGCTCGGCGTCGAACTCGATCTCGGGGAAGTCCTTGGCGACATCGCGGGCGGTCTTGAGGAAGAGACCGTCGGACATCTTCATAATGGTGGCCTTGTGGACGACGCGGACCTTCTTGCGGCCAATCTCCTGGGCCTGCTGGAAGGCGAAGCGGAGGACGCGCTCGGAAGCCTCGCGGGTGATGAGCTTGATGGACTGGACGACACCGTCGACGACGACGTGCTCAATACCAGAGTATTCACCCTCGGTGTTCTCACGGATGAGGACGGTGTCGACGTTGTCGTAGGGGGTCTTGTAGCCAGCGACAGATCGGCAGGGACGGAGGTTGGCGAACAGGTTGAAGGTGCGGCGGAGAGTCAGGTTCAGGGAGACGTGGCCCTTGCCAATGGGGGTCTGCATGTTCAAGTTAGAATGGGAAGAGAATGGCTCATGGTCGGTAAACACATACGGCGAGGGGTCCCTTGAGGGCGACCTTGTTGCGCTTGATGCTCTCAATGGCGGCATCGGGGATGGCGGTCTTGCCGTCCTTGAGGATGGGGGTGACATCGACGGGCTCCCAGGTAACGGGGGCCTTGGCCGCGGCAAAGATGTCCTTGACGGCCTGGGAGATCTCGGGACCGATACCGTCACCCTCGATCAGGGAGACGGGGTAGTTGCCCTATACAAGATTGGTGATTAGTTTTGTCTTGAAGGCATGTAGATGTCGCAGGTTTGACCATCGCCAATTGAGTGATTTTGGGCTGCGCAAAGGGCCGATTCGGGGCATTGTTGTTGCTCAAGTACCCGTCCATCTGCACATGACGAGTGACATGTGCGTTCAAGAGCAGAGAATGCAGTGTCATTGTCGAGGTCGGGGTGCGCCAACAAACAACAAAGCCGAGGTCTTTCCTTTGCGCGTAAAATTTTATGGGGCGGGTAGTAACGGAGGAGGGAAATGGCATACGTTGGAGTCCTTGACACCGTGGAACTTGGCGACACGCTCGCTCGAGTAGAATCTGGAGTTCTGTACAACTGTTAGCAATTGAGTTCTATTCGAATGGCTGGCCTGCGCAGTAGAGGCTCTGCCCGTGTTGCATCGTCGAATCGTCACCGGCGGGCGGGCGGGATCGCGGGACGGCAAGGAACAGGATGGAGGAATTGCGCGCACCTGGAACTGAGAGACGGCGGCGGCGCGGGGAGCGGCGCGCATGGCCTGCTGCCGGAGAGGCGCAGCGAAAGTACGGGCGGCCAGCATCGTGTCTAGAGTCCTTTGGTGTTGAAGGATACGTGGAGGCGGAGGAGAGTGGTCGGGTGGGAAGGATTAGTCGTTTATCGGGAGACGGGAATTTTAAGGTCGGGAGAAGGAAGTGTTAGTAGCAGAGACGCCAGCGGCGGCCAGCCGGATTTGACAGGTGAGAAAATAAACCGCCGCTTTACCGCAGGGGTCTTGGCTGCACCGGCAGGTGTAAGCGGCTCTACTGCAGAAAAAAAACTTGATTGACTTTCTATGCTCTCAAGAAGTTTTATTTTCTACCATCTTGAGAACTCTACAGATACTGTCATGATGTTTTCTAGAAGATGTAAATGTGGTTATACATACAGTCTTGTACATCTCCATAGTATCTTGTTCCCTGAACTGTCTTTATCCGAGGTTGAACATTCCGAAAGTGGGATCCTCCATAAAGCGGCGGCGTGTCTTCAAAGGCATAAGAAAACATCCCGCGGGATTATCGATGACCGACCTCCTAGCACCGACTGCTGCCGAAGGTTTAGCCACGAGTTGAGCCACACATACAGCACCTTGTGGCTGGGCAGACCCCACCCTTCAACTTTTCTTCGGGTGGCAGGAACGGACATGGACTTTTCCGGCCGATTGAGGACCAGCCCGTCTGACCGAGCTCACCTCCAAAACCTGGGTGTGCTTCGGTGAGTGAAGTGCCCTCGGTGTGCGCCACAGAAAGCACCAAGTGGGCTGCGCCGTTGTCATCAAGGAACCTCTCTACCTTTGAGCAGTAAGCTAGCTGCCATCTGGAACTGAACGCAAACAATTCGCCATCAAGTTGCACCTCACTTTGTTGCACTTGCGCAGTGCTTTTTGCACCTCCGGCACCCTGGTTGCCTCTGTGCGGCATTGTCAATCGTTCATCTTTGGCCAATGGAATTATTCATCTTGTACCTTTGAAACGGCTACACGTACTGCAAGCAACAAGCTCCCTCGCCGAGCCCCCAGCCGTTCCTCGGCTGGCTGGAACAACGATCGCTTTCCTCCTTTGCGAATTACCACCACGATTCGTGATACCAATACCCCATAATGTCGTCAGATTACGAGAGAACTATTCTGGATTTTTACCAGCTCCCCAACCCATACCCCGACGAATGGCCAGCCGAGAAGAACCAGAGCGATGCATCCGACGATGAGGACGAGGCCAAGGACGAGAAGAAGGCGAAGCTGCAGCGCCGCAAGTCGCGATACCAGGCACTTGAGAGAGCCGTCAGTGACCGACGCAGCATAATCCCCGGCGCCCAGTCGGACAAGGGAGGTGTCGCCAACATTGTCCAGCGCGACGAGCCCGATCCCTTGGGCACCACCGACAGTGTCGTCAGGACCCTCCGCCAGCTGGGAGTCCCCATTCAGGACGATCCGCGCTTGCGTACGTGGGCTCGATATTGTGATAATGACCAGCAAGACTGACATGCGTCCAGGCAATCGATTCCTCCTGTCCTCGACCACCTTCTCTCCCGCCTTGTTCCTCTCGCAAATGCACGCGACTGCCGACACCCAAAGCTTGTTGACCGGCCTGGACATGCTGTCCCAGTCAATCGATCAAAAATCCGCATCACTTAAGGTTCTGGTGGAGACCAACTTTGAGCGCTTCGTCAAGGCCAAGGCTACCATTGATAATGTGTACAAGGAGATGAAGTATCGCGGCGCCGAGCCGCCTCCGCCGCCAACCACGGGCCGTGCTCGAGCTCACTCCCGCCACGCGAGTCGCAGCAGCTTCCGAGGCAGCAACGGCGGCATGAACCTCGCCGCATCCCTCGGATCTCCCACCTCGGACGCTCGTAAGAAAAACGCCCTCGTCAAGGAAAGCGAATACGGAGTCTCGGGCATCAAGGCGCCTCTTCTGGATGTCTCTGCCAAGGCGGAAGATGTGTGGGGTCCGGCGCTGGGAGGACGTGAGAAGGAGGAGAATCTCAAGGTTGTGTCGGCGAACCTAGATCAGTTCAAGGAGTACGTCGAACTAAGCTCTGCCATTGCCGAGAGCATCAAACGAAGAGACTACGAGAGTCTCGTGGAGGAGTACAACAAGGCGCGCAAGTTCTCAGACGATGCAAGAGCACTGGCTGCAAACGCCGCTGCGGGCTCTTCGAGCCAAACCGACATCTATCAAATTGTTTTGGCGGCACGCATATGGCACGATGTGGACGAGCAGATCCAGGCCTTCAAGCGGGACGTGTGGCGGAAGCTCGTCACCCTTCACGGCGTCTCCAAGGCCGACAACCTAGGCCAGCAAGACCAGCACATGGAGCTGATTAGTCTGCTTCTCGAGCTGGGCGTCGACGACAACCCCATCTGGGTCTGGCTGCTTAGTCGGTACGACCACCTCAAGGGCAAGATTCAGTCGACGTCAGACCGCTCCAAGGTCGAGGTGGAGGTTCTACGACGACGCCTGGCCAACGCCGACAAGCCCGGAGCGCACGCGGTTGCATCGCATCTGCGGTCTCTGGGGCGCGCGGCCGTGGAGAACAAGATAGCCTCGGCTGACTCCGCCGACGTTATAGAGCTGTGGGAAAAGATGCTGGCGTTCTTATCGAGTATCCTATCGGCTCAAGGCATCCTGGGAGAGGTGTTGGACTTTTGGCAGACGGTTCAAGGCTTCCTGGAGGGCAAGATCCAGCGCACGCTGCCTTTGGGGTACAATGGAGAATCGCAAGTCCATCACCAGCTACCAGAGGAGCGTGCTGGAGATTTGCAAAAGGGCACGCTGGAGCTAGTCGACCTGATTCGCGAAACAGTCTTTGCCTTTTTCGCGGGCCCGCCACCCGAGGATATCTCGTTGCTCTTCTCGCCCCTCCCCCTATCACCCAAGAGTCCGCCCTCTGCAGGAGCCGGAAACCTCACACCCACCGGGTTTTTGGATCCTCGGCTGAACCTCGACCCTAACAACATTCCTCCTCCTTCGCCCAAGCGCGGCGAGACGTGGGAGAAGCTAGCGTTTTGGCCTCCGTGGTCCAATTCCGTCAGTGGTGTCCACTACCTTTCCAAGATGCTCGCCCTGGTAGGTTCGGGCGCGTCCGACTTGGCGAGCATCGGCCCCGTTGCGAATGGACTGGACCCTGGCGTCTTGGACAGGCTCAAGACGCTTGTCAACATTTCCAGAGAACGATGCGTCACCGCTCTTTGCGCAGCATGGAACAAGGACGCTGAGAATATCAAGTTCGTAGAGGACTGGTACCGATCACCGGAACTGGGCGACCTCACCCGCATGCCCTCGAGCTTTTCCGCCTTTGAAGGCGCGTTGCTTACAGGCATGCAGAAGATCCTGTACATATCCGAAGCCATGTCAAAGCCTGGTGCGGGGGATATTGTCCTCCCACCGCCTAGTAAACTCTTGCAGATGGTCAGAAGCCAGTACGTCACGACGCTCTATAAGGCGTTGAGCGGCATGGTGGAGAACGCCGAGCGATCTGTCAAGAAGGCCGACGACGATTGGACAACGGATATGGACGGCACCATTGTCGCCTCCGCCGCGCCCGCTCCCAGCGGCGGAAGAGCGACACTCGACGCGGGAGACAGGGTGAGTTTGACTTGTATCATTTTGGAAGAACTACCTACTGACATACTGTATAGAACGTCCGTATGCTCCTTACTCTCAGCAATTTGCAGTCACTCCGCGCCAAGGTCGTGCCGAGTCTCAACTCGCAGTTTGAGAATGCCTTCTCGGTCAAACTTAGCGATGAATCCAAAACGATCAAGGATGTTCTGGGCCAGATTGACGCTAGGCTCTTCCAATCATACACCCGCCCATCCATTGAAGAGCTGCGCAACATTGTCAGAGCCGGGGTTGCCTCGCCCGACTGGGTCCCCGAGGTGGGCCAGAAACCGCGGGAAGCGAGACCCTACGTCTACGAAGCTCTCCTCAGTCTCGTGCTCGTCCACACCCAAGTCTCGACCACGGCACCCACGCTCACCTCGCAGGTGCTCTCGTACCTCCTCGAGCAAACCAGCCGTGAGCTTCTCGAGGCGTTCCGCACGCGACAGAGATACACCCTCGAGGCGCTGATGCAGGCCACCCTGGACGTCGAGTTCGTCGCCCAGACGCTCAGCCAGTACACCACCGACCGTGCCTCGGCGCTTCAGAGCGAGATTTACCAGGAGCTCGATGGGCGCACCGATAACGACGCGCGCGCGCGCCTGCAGAGCGAGCTTCCCGAGATGAGGAGCGTGTTGAAGCGACTGCGCGAGGCGAGCAAGAACGAGTTTACGTGCTTCAGGAAGATCAAGCGGCCCGGCATCGGACCCTCGAGGACGGGCACCGGTGATTCTGCGGCGAGTATCAAGGGCTAGTGGCCCCCTCCTCAGTGCAGAATGAGAAATTCAGGTATCTGGGCCTATGATTAGGTTGTAGGGGATGAATTGGTTATGAGAGAGCCTTTGGGTTGGGAGGTATTGGAGGTTCCGGGGTGTGATGCCCTGGGCCTACATTGCGCTTGGGGAAGAATCGCGCCCTGCCAGATTGGGGCGGGCGCATGAGTGATGAAATGTTCAATGTCGGATAGCCCATGTTTTGCAATAAACAAACGAATTCAATGTACGTGGTCACGATGCAGTGAGGTGTGAAGTTGAGGGCAGAAAATGTGATCTTGACTTAAAAGGGGGGTATCTATCTACCGTGACGAATTCTAAGTGAACTTTTGATGTGTCTTTTACGACAGCCCCATCTATCTAAAGAGAAGAAGCCAACTGTGAAAACTTTTTTTTGCTTTTCCATGAGTCCCTTGTTCCCAAAGTGCCAAAAGTCTTTCTGCCAACCCAAGTCCTGTGGTTTCCTTTTTTGGTTCCTTTGTATGGGGTTTGCTTTCATGTCGCCAATGAAGACATGTCTCCAATGGAGATGGTGGTTGTGGTGGCGATAGTAGTCGTACATTCATTAAGGGTGCTTTTTTTTGTGTTTCCTTGAAAAGGTATCTTTTTTTTTCGTTTCAGTCATTCATCGTGAATTGTGCGTGCGTGATGAACGCAAGCAGGACACTGCCTCTTTGTATTTGTATCAGCAGCAGCTTACTGTCCGGTGTAATGCCGCCACGACCAATCCCCATACTAGGGCAGATCAGTCGGCAGCGACTCTGTGGGGGTAGGGGCGGTGGGAGAGGCTCCCGTCATGGGGGTGTCGGGGACGGGAACTGGGGAGGCTGAGGCCACAGGGACGGTGGAAGGGTGTGGCGGAGCGTGAGGGTGAGGGGGTGGAGGTGTGCTGTGGCCGGAGCTGGAGGCCGTGACGGCGTGGTGGTGTCCATGGTCGCCTTCCTTAGGGGGAAGCAGGACATGGCTGCAAAAGTGCAGTTCGAGGGAGCGTGAGGTCTCTGGGCTGAAGGCGCAGGTTTCGAGCTTACGGACAACATCGTCGTCTAAGAGAGGCGGTCAGCTTACTTCTCATAATCCAAGGAAATTCAAACTTACACTCGAGGTTCAGGGCCTGGAAGAACTCGGCCATGATGTCAAAGTCCGATTCGCCGAGGTCGACGACGCTGAGCCGGCCATCAAGTGTCCGGAACGTCTTGGGGTGAGACTTTCGAAGCGTGAGGAGCATCTTCAAGAGGTCGGCAATGTCCCGGCCCTGGTTGACGTACATGGTGGGAGGGCGGTCGAGGGGCCAGCGCTGGCGGAAGTCGTCCATCTCCCACACCTTGAAGGTCCAGGTGGTTTTTTCCAGGCAGTGGAGGAGGATGAGGATGGAAAGGTACACGTCAAAGTTGATCTTGGCCTTGCCGTTTTCCAGGCAGCGCTGAAGCTCACTGATGAGCTTGTTCGAGACGTTGTTGGCCTTGCGCTCCGTGGCGGCGGATAGCTGGAAGGTGATGAGGTTGTAAATGTCCTGGTCGTCGGTGCCGGCAAACTCTTCGGGGCCAATGGGTACGACGACGCCCTGGCGCTCTTCAGATATGCACCAGCCTCGCTCTCGGTCGAGAATTTCAATGAGACCCCAGAGCTCAATGGCGAGCTTCAAGTTCTTGCCCGTGGCCTTGTTGTCGGGAAACTTTTGCGCGGCCGCCAAGACGACTTGCATGAAGTGGGAGGGCTCGCGCTCGATAAGCGTCGGCAGAATCAACTTCAAGAACTCCTCCATACGGGCGGGGAGGTCCTCCTTGTCTTGGTCAATCATGACGACTCGAAAGTCCGTCTTTGTGTCTGGGCTCGCCGTCTGCTCTTCCGTCTCGCCCTCGGCTACAGGAGGCTGCGGGCGGGGGGTAAGCAGAGCGGCGAGCGTCAGGCTCGGGCTATCCTCCCACAAAGAGACGACGAGAGAGGTGCCGTTGGAGAGCAGCTGGTATTTCTGTCTGGCGTGCTTGACCCTAGTCTGCGCCAGGACGACTATCAAGGCGGCCGAGTAGAGGGTAAGCTCTTGGTTCAGACGAGTGCGAACGCAGGGGTAGGTCCAGTGACGCGGGCCTTGGATCTTTCGGCATTGGTCGCAGGGATCATTGGTGCCACAGGTCTTGCGGAGAATACGGCATCTTATGCAAGCGCCCTTCTTACGAGCGGCCTGGACCTCCTTGCGCCGGAGCGGGTTGTAGGCCTTGCGCTTGTGCTCGCTCTGCGTTCCGTTGCCGATTGGCATACGAGTGCCGCCTCTGTTGGGAGGAGGCAACGTTGGGGCCACGTGAGTTGCTACTGTGGGGATGTGGTTCGTAGTCATGTAAGTCATCTCGCCCCAGGGTTGTTGAGGTTGTTGCTCTGGTTGCTGAGGCTGCTGGAGTTGCTGAGGCATAGCTTGTACCGGGAGGGGTTCGATAGGGACAGCGGCGTCTGGCTTGAGTGTCTCATTTGATCCCATCACAGGGCTGGCGACTTGAAGCGGGTCGCCGTGCTCGGCAGTAGGCAATTCAGGATCCATGAGGGAATGAGTAAGACGGGCAGTGGCCACGGCAGCGACAGTGAGATCTGATGAATCCAAAGGCGGGTCGTTTGGATGCTGAGTGGCAGCCTGCAAGTGTTCCATCTTTTCTTCAGTAGTGAGGAAGCTGAGAGGGTTGGTGCTGTCATTTGAGGTGGATTCTGTGAAAGTCAGCTCATCTGAGTTCGCGATCTGAGTTTGAGTCGGATTAATGAGGTGAGATGAAGCAACGCTCCTTCCTTGTGAACAAAGAGAATGAAAGTAAAGAAAAAACTACACACCCTTCCGCTCACGACCAGGTCGATTTTCGTAACTGCAGGGCGGGTTCTCGAGGGTGAATTGCTCTTGGACTTCAAAGCCGATTCCGAGTTGTCGAACCGCGGACTCGGATCGGTCGCGACCAAGTGCTGAAGGCGCCCCCATCTCATTCTCTCCAACTTGTCGCGATGCTTCTGCGAGAGTTCGGAGGGCAGACCAATTCTCAGGTGCTTCGGGGGCGACCTCGGCGACGGCGACGTCGAGCTGGTTGAGTGGGAGATTCATTGATCGCGGGGCTGATGAGCCGGAGTGAAGTCCGGCAAAACCGAGTGCGGCGTTGATGCGTTCTTCAGGTGTGATGGCTGGGCACTTTTCCGTAATGTGCTTGTGTAGGACCTCGCCTCGACCCTTTGGGAAGTTTTCACCACACAACTTGCAGGTGTGAGGGTATCGGTTGCTGGAATCAGGAAGTTTAGGGCCCCGGGTGAAATATTCCCCCACCACGGGGTTTGGTTTTCGACCCATGATGTAGTCTTTGGCGCGTATTCCAGGCTGAATAATCCAAGGAAGTTGCCGTTTTTGGCGCAAACTTGGTTCGTTGACCTCTTACAGCTCGATACTTGAGATTCAGCACACCGCAGAGTGGTGGTGACCGCCCAAGAAATTCTGCCTTCGAGGTCGATATGTAGGAATTGGCAACGGACCAGCAATCTGAGATGCCGAGGCGATTGACTGTTCGATACGGAGCAGGTCAGAGACGCCACCGGTCAAGAAATGCCTCGCCAGGCTTTTACCAGTGGGCGACAATGAACGATAACGTGGGCTGGACCTACGCAATGCGATGCGATTCACAGATTCTGCCACGGCTCACCGACGTTGGAAGCGACAAAATTCTCACACCGCTTCCCATGTCGGATAAATTTCGTGGTGGGGCCGAGCAGACCTTTCTGGTCACGTGAGAACCCCACCACAAAGTCTGTCGCCACTGCGTAAGTACCTAAGTACCTTGGAGTGTGTGAGCCACGAGAGCTTCTTTCGATGTTTTCCCCTTCATACATGCCAGATTCTGTAAGGGCACTCGACGAAATGGCTTTACGTTTTGAACAGTCTTCATGGTTTGAAGAAGAAGAGCTGTGAGGGAAGACATGAGTGTGTGGCTGGAGTTGAAGTTCTGTCGCAGCATTGAGCTTGATCTTAAACTACATACACGCCATTCAAGGTGACCAAGCTTGTTTTGAGACTGGTACCTTCGAAAGAGCTCTTTAGATCTGTCATTCCAGTAAAGATAAATTGAGCGATGCTAGACACTCACTTTAGATAAGAAGTAAACCCGGCTATCCGAATGATGCACCTCGAACTCCAGCTCTAGATTCAAAGGATGCGAAGCCCGCACTGTTCAGATCTAGCAGATGTACACGTGCATTAGCAAAGTCGCCTCATAGGCACTCACTTGGTCGAATCACCTCCTGCATCGTACAGCAGCGGTCAGCCTGAGCTCTTCCAGTCGTAACGCCGAAGGGAGATGCGAGGAAACATAGTCAAAACATGCTACTCCCGACAACAGATCATCAGTTCACATTCATCCTATCCAGACATGAGGTGGTCAAGAGGCAGTGGCTCGTGTTCAGTCGTTCCTGAAAAAGGTGGGGGGAGGGGCAGTCCCGTCGGGGGGTGTCTCGGGGGGCCGCGAAGGAGTGGGTCACTCCGGGCACGGGGCCGAATCAAATGACACGGCGGGGGTGACCTCGGCCGCCGTCTCAGATAATAAGAACCCGCCACATGCGCTAGCGTCTGGCTGACATTATCTCTGTTGGAGCTGTTTCCCTTTTCCCCAATGAACTTGAGTCTCGGCATTTTGGGGGCCCCTGATCTTCGTAGCCAAACTCAATTCCACAAGGTGCATGTCAACCTGTTGGTTCACAATATACTTTGAGCATCTTATTCTAAGATTTTGGGGGCAGAAAGTCTACTTTCCGCAACCCTACCTCAAGTTCCAACAAGAGCGACGTTTCCCATGCACGATACCCCGGACAATTAGATACTAGAACCACTTTACCACATGTTGGGGGTCGCATCCGTCTTTTCCGCCCCCCTCGGCCGGGCGCCTACGGTCCTAGCTAGACCAGGGGGGAGCTACGCGACGGCCGAGCGTGATGTGGGTTACGATGCCACGCTCCCCCCTTGTGACGAACCA